AGTTGTTGCTAGGCTAGCAAATTATTAATAAACGCATTATCGCTTACGTGCATTATTTAAAAGTAAGTTAATGGCGAAAAATATTTTTAATTTGAAGATCATCCGAAGAGATGAAACGGCTTCTCATCTCGTTGCATCGAAGCTATTTGAATGAAAAATTGTAGCATTTGAACCATAGAAGTGACAGCTGATTTTAAAAACACAAGAATTAAAATAATAAACTTGTGTTACATGTCTTTGCTGCTCAGTTAAACGTCAACCGTACGTATCATTTATATTTATTTATATTCACATCTAAAACATCTGTGTAGATATACTCATAAAAATGTATGAATATAAACACACACACACACACACACACACACACACACACACACACACACACAGACATACACACGCAGACGACCACCATATTACTTCTCAATCAAACTTTACCCTGAAACCAACTTTTCTGCCATGTACGTACATACACAACATGAATATGTCTTGAAGGAATGGGTTAGATGTATAAGTTATACAAATATTGTACAAATAAAAAATAATGTCTATTATTTTTCTAATTTCCCTAACACTGTCGGACACAGGCTACGTAGAAAGAAACAGAAATGCACCCAAAGCCATCAACGGTTTCCTCTTGTAGCATCTTTTTGATGATTTCTTCAGTAGCATCCGAACAGTTACATCGAAACATGGTGAGCAAGTCGGAGTCGAATTGTCTAAAATTATAAAATGTGCATTTAATTCTGAAAGATTATAATTGTACAATGTTATCTTAACTGTGTCTGATAGTTGCTTAACTCATTCATTCATCCGTTTCGTTCACTCATTCAATAGATAGATGTATAATATTTGTATGGTTAAAAATTGTTTATAATCTGAAATAAGATAGCTTACCTTTAATCAATGTCGCACGAGTAACGAGTTGAATAAACAACTTCAGCCCCACAACGTTCAACTTCATTCGTCATGTCTTGCGATAAGGAAACCAAATTAATTGAACCGTTCCTATAGAGCAGATGATTTTTAAAGTGATGGGATATGTTGCACTTTCCAGGAATATATTCGCTAGAAAGTGCATTGAATATCAAATAGGAGCAGCCACCGGTCAGTCATCTATTGACGATTTCGTTTAAAGTTTTCTGCCTCGTTGCTGGTTGCATTTCATAAAAGACATGAAAGCCGATGATTACATCAAACTTTGATTTGCTGCTCTCGGCTGTGTCTATCCAATCTTCAATGAAACATTTGTGAACTGTGCAAACCAATCCGTCTCCGAATCTTTCCAAAACATTTTTCTTAAATTCTTCCGCTAAAATTTCGTTACATTCGACAACTACGATGTGTTCGACACTTGGTACACACCTTTTAGAGTTTTAAAACAAATTCTTTCGTTAATAAATTCAAAACCCGATCACTGTTTAGTGCGATCAGTTATAAGTTGATTTAAATAACTAGCATCTAATAAAAATATTGTTCCGTGTTTGTTAATTTTAGTAAAGTTAAATTAAATCAAATTTGAAATCAACTTTATCTTCATCCACGAGATATTTAATATTAAAAATTTATTCAAATGTTTTTAAGTCATTTGAAAGAATTTTGATCTGTAGACATCAATGTAACTTATTTATCATCAATGTTTTTCTAATATATCTGATATAAAGCATTTTTAAACAAGAAATGGACAACAAGATAGAATAAAATTAACCAATAATACATGCTTATTAATATTTCTTCATTAATTTATCAAACAAATATATCTCCACCTTTCAATAAACTCTAAATCAAATTGTCCACTTCCTGACCCAATGAACACGACTTTCCTGGCGGTTTTCAATCTCTGAAGTTGTTCATCGTTAATAATTTGTTGGTAGATGGGCAGCAGGTGTTGGCTCTCGTTTCGTCTTTTTCGGTATCTTTTCAATGCTTTTGGGAAGCTCAGTTCAACAAATTTATTTTTTGACATATCGTAAATTTCAATAAACCAGATTTAATAACTCTAATGACCAAATTAGATAAGTAGGCGGTACAAATTAAATTTCGTATTGAGTTATTTTATTATATAATCATATTCTCTACAATCGTAATAAAGGATTTTAGCTTTTTTCAATATGAGAAATATTATTATGCTCTGTGGTCGCGTGTTTGAAAAAATGAAAGGAATAAACGAAAACTAAAACGTTGAAAGCTTATTTAATTTTATCATTTAACTTATATATCCTATCACTTGCTTGAACCTTATCAAAAGTAAAGCTCCCTACTTCTCTCTCTTTCTCTCTCTCTCTCTCTCTCTCTCTCTCTCTTAAATAATTTTCACACTCTCTTCACCATATCTATAGCACAAAATAAACAACATAATTACATAATTTTTATATAAATTATCTGATAAAAATAGATTATAGAGGAGTTCATCTGCTGAAAACAGAAACTGCACCCAACGAATGATCTCCCCGTGCGTGATCAATTGAGTTGTGGCGTGTCGGGTTGAACTGAGTTTAACTGATCCCATTTAAAACAAACATTCCTTCAATTTCATCCTATTATGTTTATTAATTAAATGTTTAACAAACACAATTTAAATATTTAAAATCAATAAAATGCTGACATAAGTTCGAACATAAATCTTTATTCATTTCTTCATTAACCAAATGTTTATTTTAAAAAGCTGAACCAGCTTATATGCACAAAAACACTTTATTCAGCTAACTTCCTTTAAATGTTTTATTTCCTAACAATAAAATTATCTAACATAATGATTTAATCATCAGTTGAGCATTTTTTGAGCGATGAAGAGCGAAATTTGGAAGCAGCCAAACCCATCGACCAATTCCTTCATCATCTTTTCAACGATTTCTTCTGTTACGTTACTGTAACAGTATCTGTACAAAGCCAGGATGTCAGAGTGACGGTCTCTACGATTGTAAGGTATACGTACGTTATTTAACAGGATTTGTTGTTTATCAGTGTTATTGATGTTAAGTTTAATTTTATTTTGAATAACTATATAGATCTGGAAATATCAAAGAAACAAATTGAATAAAATCTTTTCTTTTGTTTACAAACCTGCAGTCAACGTCAGTAATAAAATCCTTGGAATGCACAACCATCCCGCCAGCCTGTTCAACTTCGGACTTCATGTCTTGAGCAAGAGCAACGACATTGACGACATCTTCCGTGAATTGAACGTGCTTCTCAAACTCGCAAGCGATATTACACATACCCGGCAAATGATCGACCGACATGGAGTTGAACAGAAAATATCCAGTCGATTCTTTCAACAATTTCTTGAATATTCCTCCAAACGCTTTCAGCCTGGTCTCTGGCATCATCTCATAAAACACGTGCAAACCGATGATGACGTCAAATTTCTCGTCAGATGAATTTCCTGTCCAATCTTCCACCCAATCTTCGAAAAGAGAATTATAAAATCGATATTTTACTGTACCGTTGAAACATTCCACGCATCTTTTCTCCAACTCTTTAAGGCAGTTACCGTTATATTCAACGGCAACCAATGTGTCAATCTTTGGAACACATCTGCAATCAAACAAAAACTTTTTATTTTTTAGAGAGAGAGAAAACAAAAGTGAGAGACAGACACAGAAACTACCTTTTGATAAATTCCAGATCGTATTCTCCATTTCCTGGTCCGACGCACAGAACTCTCCTGGCTAATTTCAAACCCTGGAAATTTACATCTTCCGATATCTTATCGAAAATCGTTTGCAATATTTTCCGCTCGTTTCTCATCTGTCTGAATCGATTTAAAACTTCTGGCAAGTTGTCTTCGACATTCGGTTTGATCATTTCTGAACGATTCTTTTCACTTCTTATTGAAACAACTCAATAAACACTGTCTAAAATTAACGCCTAATGGTTTTGTAACTTATCTGAAATTTTTAAAAATTGAAATTAAAACATTTAGACTGATAATTTAAATATTTAGCAACATTAAAACTTTAGACGGACACACACAAAAGTTCTAGATCATAATTAATCAAAAAATATTATCGGTAAAAACAGAAAGATTCAATCACTGTGTGTTCCGCGGTAGTCATTGATATTATTCAGTTATATCCCATAGTAGAAATAGAGAGAGAGAGAGAGAGAGAGAGAGAGAAAGAGAGAAGAGAGAGAGAGGGAGAATATGAAATGATTACACGAAATGATGTGGTTTTATGCGTTACTCAATAGGAGTACCACTTTGAAACTTGCACAATTAACATAAATTAACATAAAAACGACGTGAAATTTTATATTTGATTTGAAAAGGTCCTCATTCGGGCTTCAATTACATGATTAGAATAAGTTAATACAAATCTCAAAAAAAATCTTCATATATCTACATGTGATGTTTATTTTAAACGCTTGACTACTTACATTTGCAACATTTGTGAAGCTGGTGTAAATGTTTGAGCGTACGAAGCAATGTTTTCATGTTCATTTTAACTGTAAAACATATCCATTCTTTGAAAGTTATTCATTTAGCATTGTTTCGTGTTGGATGTTTCCTTACCCTATTTTTAGGAAACAAACATACATGTATTGTATTGCAATTGTATAGCTCATAAGCAGAGCAGCTTACATTTTATTTCATACTTATACCATTACTACTACTACTGCTATTAGTTCTACTACTACTACTACTGCTACTGCTGCTACTGCTACTACTGCTACTGCTGCATTTTAAATTTTCAAAAAGCGGAAATTAAAACT